CCTGACAGCCCCAAGGGGAAGGAATTGTTCCCAATGTCCAACCTCACCCTGCCCTGGCACAACTTGAGGCCGGTGCCCCTCGTCCCATCGCCCCTTCCCTGGGAGCAGAGCCCGACCCCCCCGGCTCCCCCCTCCTCTCAGGCAGTTGTGGGGAGTGATGAGGGCTCCCCTCAGCCTCCTCTGCTCCAGGCTGAACCCCCCCAGCTCCCCCAGCCGCTCCCCAGCAGCCTGGGGCTCCATCCTTGCTCTCTCCTCCGTGAGGCTGCAGAATTTTGCCACCCATCCTTGTTTCCCCTGTTTGTTCCTTTGCACGGTGTTTGACTTAAAATCAGTCTCTGCTCCGGCAAAGGACCTGCAAACGAGATCTCATTCCTCAAATCTCCTGTTCCCTCGGTTGTTCTTGCTGGGGCAGGGCTATAACCCCTGTGGAGCTGCTGTGCAACAGCTCGGACCTTGTCGGGCCACTTCACCTGCAGCGTTTTAGCCCTGCCTGCGTGGGCTGCATGACCGTGTTTAAAAGCAGCGGAAGGTCCCCGCCATCCCGGGGGGCAGGGAGCCGGTGCAGGACCCGTCCGCAGAGGCAGCAGACCACCCCGTGCCCACGTCAGCCTTAGAACGTGGCGTGGAGAAGAGGCGCGGGGCCGCGGGGGGACCTGGAGCCTCTTGGTCCCGTGGTAAGAGATGGGCGCTCATCCTGGGCTTGCGCTGCCAAACCCATGGCATGGCCTTATGGCCGTGGAGGGGGGGAAACCGGTCTGTAAAACACCAGGGGACAAGGCAAACGAAGGCCAAAATCATGATTTCCTGAACTGGGTGCAGTAGCAAACACGGGTGGTGACATCAGGAGCGTTGAGCTGATGCGAGGCCATCGGTGGGCACGGGCGCCGTGCGTGGCCGTTGTGCTCTGCCAGAGCCGTGCGGGGCTTCTCTGGAGGAACCCCCTGCGAGCCGGGCTCTGCACCCTGCCCCAGGGAGCCGGGGGCACGGGGCTGGCGCCAGGGGGTCCGGCCAGGGGGT